GACTTTTATATCTTTTTGGCGTCTACACTTAGAAGAAAAACAACATGACCAAAATACGTCTCCCTTGAAACCGTTCCACTTTCATTTGAAACATTTTTCCTATCATAAAAACCAAGCGAGATATTTCCTGATACTCCAGTTAGGTGGGACAGCCTGTATATCGTCTAATTATTTAGTAATTATCTTAAAACAATAAGCATTCTAAATATGTGATGTAGGATAAGGAAACGTTAGATCCGTTCGCGAAAGTTAGTCTTCTCTGTGGAGAAAGAAGAGTAAAGAAGAAGAAGAAAACAGCTGTTAGGAAGACTACGACAAATCCCGTTTGGAATGAAGCGATGTCGTTTAATATACCTGCCTCATTACTTGCATCATCGGCTATAGAGGTAATATATATGTAACAGTCGATATGTTCTTTAAGTGCACAAATAGCAAATGAAAAACACGTAAGTCAAATGAAATGAAAAGAATTAATTTATACATAATTATATTTATGTAAGATATGCGTGTTGGACTCGAGCAGTGAACTCATGGGCGGAAACGCCATTGTCGGATCCTGCATCATTGGACCGGCTACAAGTGCGGACAGCGGTAACAGTCAAGGACGAGAACACTGGCTTCAAATGACGCAGTCTCCGAGGAAGCAAATTGCTGAGTGGCACACGCTACACTAGTTTGATCATCGTTACGATCTAACCGTTTGATTGCCCGAATAATTCACTTCCTTGATCGAAGGAACTACAGTCTATCGTCGTGTAACGTCGCATAATAAAGATCGAATGAACATATAACATACGAAAAATATAGCGATTATATATAAATGGCAAAAAATAATATGTATTTCTCGTCTTAACAGAAAAAGAAAATAGAAAATCTCGTGACGCGTCGAGAAATCGTTCTTCTGCGTTTTTATAGATATATTGATCGTTAAAGATCCATAACATTTTGTCGCATTGAATGTCGATGCTCAAGAAGAAAAGAAAACAATCTTCATATAAATATTCTTCGTATATCCATAACAGAGACACTAATAAGCACTATACTTATATTTTCATTCATTGCACAACAATTTGAGCTATACGCGTAGTCCAACTGCGCATTTCTTAATTTTGAATACCTAAACGAATTAGAGACGTATTTTTGAAATATTCATGCATTAATAGAGATTCTTCGCGAAATGACAATGAAGAAAACGTGATCCAAGCTGTGAAGCAAAAGCAGAGACAGATTTCACGTTTCGCTTAACAGATCAATAATTAAATGTACAAACTAATACTTATAAAATAAGATACAACTTGAGAAGACAATTGTCAGGTCTAAGTACGCTAATTAAATCTGTGAATCTGTCTTTATTAAGAAGCTATCTTTCTCTCAGGTATGTCTCGTATTTTTCTCATTATTATACTTCTACTCCTTCCTTCTCTTCTAAAAAAAAAATTACATTGGAAACCTAAATTCTGTCATTGTATGACAAATATGATCTAAAAAAATATTTAAAGTATTCCGGCCGTGTCTATAGCTTACTGACTGATCAATAAAGCCTAATATTCCTACAAACAAAGCATGCTAATTGTGATAGCGTATTGATTGTCGTTATTAATGTGTATTTTGTCGAGTGTATAATTCATATGCTAAACAAATTGGAACATAATGTGTGTAAAAGAAGAAAACACAAAACGTCTTTCATTTAATCAAACATTATATCAAACATGATTAATTCAATAAAGACAAACATTGATTTGTCATCCGCATAAACTATTCTTAGCAAACAAATTGACGTTATTTGTCGCAATTTTGATGTCAAATGACGTTAAGGACATCATTTTTACGTCAAAATGATAACAAATGTCAACTTATTTGGTGAATGTATCTACAAGTATATATGTACGCACACAGTTATTTTTCTACTAAACTGCAGAAAAAATTAAGTCTGATTGTTACACGAATCAAATTATAAATAGAAAAATATCCGACCAACACTCACTACTATATCTATCATATTAAGAATTTGTGCTTTTATTTATCAAATCTATTTCTTTTGATTTTAAATATCGAAAAACAATAAGCCTGCCGATTACCAGAGGGTTTAATCATATATATGCACGTTGTATATCATTACGTTTAAATGTCTACAATTTGTCAATCGAATTGCACTGTAATGACCAATTGTTGGGAAAAAAGAATTAAATGTTAATGAATACTAAGTATATCTAAAGTAAATATTATAATAAATAAGTATATATATGTATACACATATGTAATGTAAAGAAAAAACCTCTAAAGATATAGATGTGAAGAAACGTTTCTATGACATGGAAGCGCAGTTCAAATTGTACGCTTAAAACTTACATACATATAAATATATATTGATAAATATTCACTTTAGGTGATGTTCCTCCGTTGATCTTGACCTTGATATATGTTGTTAGGATCATGATCCTGAGTGACTTTCAATAGATTTTAGCTGTCACTCGTTATAACAAAAAAATTTTTTAAATAACATCTTATTTATCTGTTACATACAATATTCAAGGCAACCTACACCTTTTCCTGCTTACGCAATGATTTTTCACGCAAAGCGAAGTCCATCTCACCTCTCCTGCTGCTAAGGAGCGCATGACTTTCCACATCAAGCAAGATCGATAATTATATTAATGGATTCTGCGCTGATGATTTTGATCTTGACATATATTGTCAAGGTCATGATCCGAACTTTGTCTTAACAACTAGGTAGTCTGCCTTCAAAATGATTTGTTAGTTTCTTAGATAATATAATAAAGTTAAAGTGTAATTTTAGTAGTAAATGTAGTAATTATTTACAATAACGGACAACTTCGACCTTGACATTATGTTGTCAAGGTCATAACTCTGAGTGACTTCCCCCGCCCCTGCTTAGAGACGTCTGACTTTACATGTGAAATGAGGTCACCCCACTATACAAGGGCGTAACGACTTTTCATGCAGGTGAATCGATCTTGCTTCGCGTGGAAAGTCATTACATAAGCAAAGAAGAATGTGGGATAATCCTGAATATTGTATGTGGCAGAAATAAAACGTTATCTTTTCAATTTTTTTGTTAATATCTTTTTAACGAATAACATCTAAAACCTGTTGGAGGTCAATCATGAGTCATGACCTTGACAATGTATGTCAAAGTCAAGGTTATTGGAGGAGCATCCCCTAAAGTGAATTATTTATCTAAATATTTACGATATTTCTATTCTTGACATATACTACTAATATATTCTATATTATATGTACACTGTGAAAAATATTATAATTGTATTAACAAAACATAACAAAGAATTCATTTTGACCAAACAAAATTTTTAATTAGAACTGACTCGATTAACTAAAACATTTGTTAGATTTAACTACGAGGATTTGATTAGTACTTTGGGTGGAATTTATGAAACTTCGAATTATGTTCATTAAATATTGTATTTATTAACAGTTAACAGTTAATGCTGATCTAACTAAATAAATTTATTATTATCAAAAAATTTTATTTAACAAAAAAGATGAATTCATAGAATTTGTGATCTACAATTATATGCAAGTATATTAACAAAATAGAAATATTAATATTTCTATTTGTAGTAGAAATATTAATATTTTGTAATATATTGATTTACACGCAATTATAATTTCAAAATAATATTTTGGCAGAATCATAACGATATGATAAATTATCTTAGTAGAGTAAATTTGTAAAATTAAATTTGGAAGGAAATTGTTTAATAATTAAAAAGAGAAAAATGTTTCAATTACATTATGTTTAAAAAATAAATAACTGTGTATGAAGGAATCAAATTAAAATGCGTATATACATTTATAAAAATATACAATTATTCCTAAATTAAATATAATGTAGAAATGTTACAACATGAAATAAAACATATTCAGTATGGCAACATTTTAAGTAAAAAATGAAATGTTTTATGAAATACGTATAACATTTCATTTGTTTCTGTCTGTAACAATAACAGTAATAATTTAGCCATTACTTTTGTTATTTTAGTTTTTATTGAATACCGTTGGATATTTCGATATTGCTGGGGCTGAAAGATGTTTCGGTTTAGTATCTCTAAAAGTGTACTTCTAGTTACCCAAGTTGTCTCGTCGTTATAACAAATGAGCGAAATACTTAAAATTTTTTTAAATACTTATGATACATCTTTTCTAAGTATACAAATATATAATATGTGTTTACAAGGATAAAGTTACGAATGCCTGAATTCTCTTTGATTTTGCTGTCGATTGGATAGACTGTATATTTTGATGAGCTGACTATAAATATAATCGTGAAAATTGCTGACCAGGTCATTTTCAAGATTAAATATTAAGCAAACGTACGTTTTAGACATTCTTTTCACACTTGATAGTGAAAATGACCTTGTCACCAATTTTCATGGTCATATTCGTTAGCACCAAAATATAGTAGTATAACAATTGATAGCAAAATCAGAGGTAATCGCCTTCCAGCTCCCCTTAGAGATAAAAATATATTCTTCATTCTCATTACGTCCTTGGTTTCGATCCTGGAATCAAGGACGTAATGAAGAATTGACTCCATTTTTCACTTTTGTTTTCGAAATTTTTTATACTTTTTCAAGTTTTTGTATTTTTTCTTTTTTTATATATATACGTATAATAATAAATTAACTTAGTACATCTGAAAAAATGGAGATCAATAATAGCGATTTATTTGGTGGAAAATTATACGAATTTTAGATATGTATGCCTTCATTTTATACTTTCTCTTATAATGTATGCGTGCAATGAAATAACCGTACATTGAGTTTCAGTAAAAAAAAATGTTTCTTTAGTATAAATGTAATAGAACAATATCAAAATGTATATTAAATTTAACGAAATAAATTTTCATGACACTGTATTTACTATACAACATATACATACATCTGATAGATTTTTTATCATTTATACGTTTGTACATTGTACATAACAAATAGTAGCAGGTTTTTACATATAAACTTCCTTCTCAAATGACAATGTGTTTTGTATAAGTTATTATAAAGTAAGACTACATTCTATAATTATAAAAATTTTGAACTAATATTTTTCGTTAACTTATCTGTTTCTACGATATCAACAAACTTTTCTGAGCCCTTCTTCTGAACAGAAAGGGTTATGCTTGCTCCACTTTCATGCCATTTTGCTTTTAACAATACACAGCATCCTTTACCTATTAAAAATTTTAATTTCATTGGAAAGTTATAATATTTAAGCAAGAGAAAAAAAAAGCAAATACCAAGTTCTCCTCGTTCGTGAGCTGCTGCCAATTGGTTAACAACGCGTCTTTCCACTTCATATTTGATAGAACGAGCACCATAATGGACATCATATCCGTCTGCTAATACTGATAGGACCTCTCTATCCCATTTTAATTCAATCATATGTCTTTCTTTTGCGCGTTTAGCCCATGTTTTTAATTCTCTGGCGACTAATTCTATTAATTCTGCCCGAGAAAATGGTAAAAAATACACAATTTCATTTATTCTTCCTAAAAATTCATCTCTCCGAAAATGATTTTTAAGTATTGGACGTACCTGTAAAATTATTTTATTATATAATTTTCTATATTACGTTTTAAAATATCTCTTATACTTTTTCATTTAACATACCACTTGATCTTTAAAATTACGGGATATTTCGATACGTTCTGGCTCTTGATTTTCAGTAATGTTAGCTAACCTATGGTTTATTAGTCTTTCAGCTTCTGCTCTGAGTTGCATTGCATGTTCTGCAATTTCGTCGCTTCCTAAATTTGATGTCATTATAAAAATGGCATTTTTACATTCGATTGTTTTACCTTTACCGTCAGTTAGTCTTCCCTTAAAAGTAAATATTATTGCATTATTGAAGAATCCTAAATAGACTGATAAATTTAAATAGTAACAATAACTACCTCATCGAAAAGCTGTAGCAAAACAGTTAAAACATCAGGGTGCGCTTTGTCAACCTCATCAAATAATACAACAGCAGATGGACATTTTTTTAAAAGTTTTGTTAGTTGTCCACCATCATCATGTCCCACGTATCTAAACAATAAGTTTAACATTCATTGCTGTTATATTAAATGGTAAATATGATACATAAACATAAAACATTAAAAATGATTAAGCTAAAATAAAAATAACTATACCCAGGTGGGGCTCCAATTAATTTTGCGACTTCATGTTTTCCCTGATATTCAGACATATCTAATCGAATGAAACTATCTGATTTATTTCTGTGAATATAAGCAGCTAATTGCTTCGCTAATTCTGTTTTGCCAATGCCCGACGAACCCAAAAAGAGAAATACTAGTGGATGTTCCTCATCTATCCAACCATTTTCTTTCCTTCTGATAGCTAATATATTAGATAATATTAATAATTTGAAAACGTACCTTTTAATAAACTAATAAATATGATAAAATTTTCTAAGATGATAAAATTATAGAATTCTTACTGGAAGCAACAATGGAAATTGAGCCCTCCTGTCCTACAATATGTTGTTTCAAACGTTGTTCCAACGGAAATCTGCGACGTTCCTCTGCTTCCTAAGCAGAAAATTTTCGTTTATTTATATATCGTTAGGGTGTCCCCGAAGTTCGAGGGTAACATTACTACAGCATGAAATATTGTGAAAATTAAATAATAAAAGTATAAGTCACTTTTTCCTGTAGTTTTTTAAGTATGAACGTTTAAAGTTTGAAGTCAATTATAAACGTTGCTTAAAAAGTTATTTATCCATATGCATACAGCGACAATGTTTAATTCAGTATTTAATACCATTGCACATGCATCATATTGATAGATGACTTTTAAATCAACGCTTGTGGTCAGCCTAATTTTAAATATTAGAAATTTTGTATAATCTTATACGTGCAACTTTTGTGTAAAAAGAAATACAAAAAAAATAGTTTTAGAGTAGAATAGAAAAGAGTCTTATTACATACCTTTTCTTTTACTATTTCATCATATTTAATAGCATGTTTAACGAGCATCTCTTTGATTTCTCCTTCTTTTGCATATTCAACTGCTCTGTGCCCTGCTTCGTTTTCTATAGTTGGATTTGCTCCTCTGTCTAGTAATGCTTTCACACAAGTTTCTGAATCAGCTAAGACAGCATAGTGTAATGCAGTAAAGCCTTGAAAAGTAGCTCGATTATTTAATCGATCAGAAAATTCCTCTTCTCTCTTCGTAAGAACTAAAATATCCAAATTTTGAAATCAATATTATTACTTAAGCATTAATATCGAAAGATTGTGTTTTTAAATTTTAATATTTATAAGAGATTGTACTCTTGTGTTCTTTGGCTCTTTTAACATTAATAATAATATTTACATATAAAACCAAAATAAAAAAATACCATCCAACGAATGTAAACCCTTTTCCATAGCAGTTCTATAGACATTAACGAAGTTGTCTTCTGCATTTACATTAGCACCATTGTCTAATAAAATTTTTATAATTTCTTCCCTCTGATTTATAGCAGCAGTTTGCAATGCTGTCCAACCCAATGGATGTCTGATATTTACATCAATGCCATCTGCTATAGACTAAAAATTTTCATCATAAATTATTATCATATATATAGTATTGTTTATTTTTATCTCTATTATTTTATATATATATATATGTTTTAATAATAATAGTAATACAATGTATAAAATGTTTAATGTCAATGGAAATTACAACTGTGAATTATTTTTTCTTTATAGTACAACAATATTAGATAAAATCTTAATACATTACGAGAAAACTCTTACTCTTTTCAATTCTGAAACATTACCATACTGGACAGCGCGAAAGAATCTTTTTTCTGCAAAGAATATTAAGAATTATCTATTAATTAGTATGTGACTTAATTTTATGTAATATACATTTTGCATCTCTATCTAATCACAGTGTATACCTTTAAAATGTGAAGTGTCACAAAAAGCCACTACAAACCCAAGACTGCCCAAGAGCATTCCTAAATGCTTGTATCGTTTCCTGCTACGTTTGTTGCCATATTCATCATATTTTTCTTTCGTAACTGTCGAAAGTGTTGCAGGAAAATCAAAAGAAATTCTATCCAGTAATCTGTGTAGTGTGTAAATGGGAGGTGTTAGCGATGAGGAACGTTGGGCATAACCTCTTCGACAGCCCCAACATATGACATCGTTAAAACGATTATGGTTTTTAAAATATATTTGACTCAAAAGTCTCTCCGACCTTCCGGTACCTTTCATCGCGAGACACAATTTTAAGATACACAATCGTAACATATCGAGATCCGTCAATTTTTCACTGGATATACAAACATGTGTCAAGTACGTCGATCGTTCGAAACAATCGGAACGCATTTAAAGACGCCGCTCAAGATTATTAATGGAGACTGGAGTCGCCACGAGCGTTTTATGTAACCTGGATGCGTTCCGAATTACGCATGAAACGCATAATGTATCGTTTTATCCTTCTTTATTATTTGGTGAACAAGGACAAATGATGCATCATGCGCTTCATGCGTAACGCACCCCTCGGAACGCACCCCTATATACATAGGCCGTGTTCGTATATTGTTTGGTCTGTTCGATTTGCTCACACTTTTTACACTCAGCATCTTCGCTTTCTCTCTTTTTAGCGTCAAATATATACCTATCTCATTTTGAGTGTGAAAAGAGTAAAAAAAGTGTAAGCAAGTCGAACAGACCAATTGCCAGTTGTTAGGCCGGAATCAGACTACGCATTAAATATTGAGATTGAAGATTGAAGGATTGAAATTTGACCAATCAAAACAATAGGAGCTAAAATTCCTTTGTCCTCACTGGTCAAATTTTAATCTTCAATCTTCAATCTCAGTCTTCAATGCGTAGTCTGATTCCGGCCTTATTATACGTTTACAGGAACTGTAGACAGTAGGTCTGTTCGCGTTGCTTGCACTTTTGGCATCTTCGCTTTCTCTCTTTTCAAGGCCAAATATATATCTATCTCATTTTAAGTGCAAAAATATTTGGGGATTTCATGCAACGCGAACAGATCTTTTCAGTACTGGCAGTCAACTCAACTGGCAGTAATAGGTCTGTTCGCGTTGCATGCACTTTTTGCACTCAGCATCTTCGCTTTCTTTCCTTTCAACGTCCAAATATATATCTATCTCATTTTAAGTTCAAAAATTTTTAGGGATTTCAAGTAACGCGAACAGACCTATTATACGACATGGCCATGACTGCGTTTCGTTTCACGCACGATGTGCATAATGTATTATTTATCCTTGTTTAACATTTGGTGAGTAACAAGAATAAATGATGCATCATGCGCATCATGTGAGAAACGGAACGCAGCCTATAATATAATGCATATGTGTGCTGTAAGTACCATAAATCGATTTCCGTTTCCTATGGACGGTTGTTACTATTATTATTATTCCAGATGATTGTGAAACAAAGTGACACATTTATTTATCTTTATGGCAGGGATCTTTATTCGTATCAACGCAACTGCGAGTTAATCAATATAATTTTATCTATATATAGCGAGAAATTGTTAATTGTTTATTGAAATACAATTAATATTCACATAGAATGGAAATTTAAAACCGGCATAATTTCAATAAATTCTCAATTCTTTGATATATTTATAAAATTATTAAATATATGATGAATAACACGTATGTACATAATTGTTCGTTATACCTGTTTTATGTCATATTCCAGGGACGATTTTCCTCTTTCGTCTAATGCCTACCCCTCCCCCCCTCTTCCTCATTTCTCTAATAATAGATATCAATGTCAATTAATTACAATTCCGATTTATTACACTTACTGTATTTACTTTGCGGTATATCTTTCTAATTCTTAGAATTAAGAAAAGATAATTAAAGATATAATTTTTATAGCATAAAATATTATAATATTGTAGAAATATTATTTTGCAGGATTAAAATATTTTATAAAATATTCCTAAAAACTTTTGTAACAACGTAGTTGCTATATCAATTTTATCACTTTAGACAGAATATATCATGAAAAAAAGTATATCTGCAATATTTCTGAAATATTATAACGTAGGAAATATTATAATGTAACCTTTTGAACTAATAGGAGAAGGGGATGAGGATAGGTAAGTGATATGGATTTGTTTTTTATTTTATATTATTTTTAATTAATTACTAACAGATCACAAAATCACACATACTTATAATTTACTACTTTTACTTAATTTTTCTTTTAAAATTGTAAACTGAAAAAAATATTTTTATTCAATTTTTTCGAAGAAAATTCATAAAATTTGAAAATTTTGAAAAAAAAGTTTAAAATATTTTTTTAGAAATCTTTATAAATTTAAGAATTCGACAAAATATGAGATATAAAATTTTTGTAAATTATCGACTAATTGTAAGTAGTTTTCAGATAATCCTCGATTGATAATCAAACTCAGATGATAACATTAAAATCATAGTTTTAAATAAAATTCGAGTATTTTATATATACACACACATACATTAAGTTTTTTAACATACATATATACATATCTACGAAACTAATAAATCATGAAATTAGTTCTATATTATCAGTTTCTTACTGTTAGGGCCAGTTGTTCCATCTTTAGATAAACTATATGATAATTTACCTACTAGATAAACAAAAGAGTAGAAGAGTACAAGCATAAGTAAGAGACAGTGAGCTGAAGTTGGCCGTATCATCCTCCTACTACCTACTTGGAGGCGAGTCAATAAACAAAGAAGTGAGCTGAAGTCTACCGAAAGGTGGGACAATCCAGCCTTATAATAACTTAAATTTTAACAGTCACACGAACTTCTGTAAAATCGGTCGTCTTTAATAGTAGCCGCGTTCCGATATACACTGCCAGTACTGAAAATCTACAGTATACATAACGTAAACTATAGATTTTCAATACTGGCAGTGCAAATTGAAACACGGCCAGTATCTCGTCAGTAACCGTATGTATAATTGGTATAACAGCTGGCATTCCTCTATATATGGTAATATTTTCCATTAGAGATTAGTGTTTTATTCGCTTCATAGTAATCCTCTTTAAAAGAATTAACATGATAGATGGAGAGAAGCAATAAATTTGACGTGGTGATAATCTATCTACGTTAAAAGCGCGATTTTCAAAAACGTGATTATTTTTGCTATATTGCGGCATATAAATTAATCATTTGCAAATGATCGCGCGACGGTCACTCGCCATCATCATTTGTTAGATTCACCGTTTGTTACCTGGCATCCGGCCATCCGCTGTATCCGGTGACACCCGCTGCGCCGGCCGCGCTATGAACGTAGCGGTGAACCGGCGCGATTGACTTTTTTCGAGAATTTTCGAACAAATGTCGTATTCGCGATGGTGTTTGAAGCCATCCAATCTCGTAGGCTTCCAGAATATTCCAGAAACCGCCAGAGCGGATGGCGCGCCAATCGGTGCACGCCACAGCGCTGCCATGATTGGCCAATTTTGAAGCGAACTTAGCAGAAGGCAGTGGCTGTGTCGTGCCGTGCCGTATCGTACCGCCTGTGACCGCTTGTGCCGTGCGTTGGAAAGCGTTTCTTTCGGAAACATCGTACGTGTCTAGTGGTGAATCACCGTGAATCTCGTCGAGTCCTGATTCTCACGGAGGTGAGGACACACGAGTATCAACGGAGTGCTGACGCGAGTCGCCGAACGTTCCTCACGTATCTCGTGTCACAGAAGAAGTCGTCGATTCGGCCGAATCAGCCATGGCCGCGATGTCCGTGATCGGGATCGACTTTGGTAACGAGAGCTGTTACGTAGCTGTCGCCCGCGCCGGCGGCATCGAAACCATAGCGAACGACTACAGTCTTCGCAGTACTCCGTAAGTCATTCTCAGAAAGGATACCGGTCTTGTTGTCACGTCGCTACGTCACGCCGCGCCGCAATCCTAACACTCGTACCTCCGCCAGCCCGAATTTAATTTATTCTCCTTTTCCTCGGATTTTTATTCCAAAGTACGATTTGGAAATATATAGTTCGTCCCGCAACCTCATTTTCATTCGATACCATTGCGACTTGAAGTCGCAAGAGGAGCAGTTTCCCGGTTTTTTGCGCTTAATGCTATACAGAACCTATAATTTTTAGGATATCTATCGAATTTCGACTGTTTCCGAAAGACTCGACGACGATCGGATGAAAGCTCAAAGCTTTCTTCTTTACGTGTCGAGACATGGAAATTACTTTCCTTTTTTTTTTTTTCTAAATTTCCCGTGCGATGAATTACCGATGAAAAAAACTTTAGGATAAAAAACTTTCCCAAGCCGAAGTTTCACGCGCGCGTGGATTATCACACTCTCCGAAACATCGCGTTTTACCATAATACCATTTACAGGCATAGCATGTCACACATTCATGTGTTTTGGTGTATCCCAAAAAGTCTCGCTCCGCTTGCGTAGGAGCTTTCCTTCCTTTCCTTTTGGAGTTGTCACTGCGTTTATATTTATCCTCCATAAATCGTCTATAAATCCGGATGCGGCCGATGCGATTTTCAGCGATTAATCCAATCTTCTACAACTCGCGTATCCGCAAAAAATTATTTTCTTTAATCCATTACTTTACGAATATCGGTTTTTTTTTCTTTGTTTATACATGTATTATAAGTTGCGTTGTACTTTGTATTGATAATAAAAATATAAATTAATTTTTAATATTTGGTTTTATCCATGTAAAATATCAAGAGTAAAATGCAAATTCATTCGATTTTATATATTATTTATATATAGTTATACATGACTGGTATATGATGTCAGTAACAGAAAAAAAAAATGATACTGATTTCTAGGTCATATGTGGCGTTTAGCGGGAAAAACCGAATACTCGGAGTGGCAGCTAAGAACCAAATGGTGACCAATGTGAAGAATACTATTCATGGTTTTAAAAGATTATTAGGTAGAAAATATAATGATCCACAAGTTCAATGCGAGTTGCGATTTCTCCCATATAAAATAACTCCGCAAGCTGATGGAAGCATCAATATACATGTAAGTATTGCTCCAAGTATGGAAAAGAATGGTTTTGTTAACTTTTACTATTTTGATGTTTGTGAGAATAACAAAAATTACAAAAACAAAAATAAGATTATTCAAAATAACTATAAAGTTTTCATTTGTACTATTTAATAAAATTCATTTATGTAAACAAGAAGGAAAAAAAGAAGAATGAGAGCAATTTTGTGTAACAAATTTCAATGGTCTAACTTCCTTTTCATGTAATTCTATGACTAAGAATCGAAAGTAATTTAGGCATTTTGCCAGGATTCTCTCGAGAGACTCCTATCTTATTTATATCTTTTAAGGATGCTATGATGATTCATTATATTACATTATGTTGCTTATATATATTTCGCGTGAATATAAATATATACATTATCCAAAATTACATAATGTTTCACATTATGTTAAAAGTTATTTTTATTACTTATCTTTTCTTTATTGATATTTTAGGTACAATATCTGGGGGAAGAGCATGTTTTTTCACCAG